TGGCGCAGTGGGTTGAGTGCCATGCTGTGAAGCTGTCCTCAGCCTCTGCAGTGCTGGTTCAATTCCTGGCTGGCTAGGGAGATTCCCATATGGCAAGGCAGACCTCTTCTGTCTTACCCGCTGCTCCCCTCAGCAGTGTACTTCAGTCCTTCTGCCTGTTCTGCTCCCTGCTCTGTCTCTGGTGAATTCTCTCACCCTCCCACGCCTCTGGCCTGTACCCCAGTGCTTATATAAATAAATTTTAAAAAAGACTTGCCTACTGAAAACTACAAAATGTTGAAAGAAATTAAACAAGTCAAAATAGAAAGAAATCACACATTCACAGATTTAAAGAAAATATTATTAAAATATCATTTTTACCCACTGTGATCTACACAGTCAATATAATCCCTATCAAAATTTCAGCTGCTTTTTTTCAGAGATGGAAAAACCGATCTCAGTCAAATCATCTTGAAATAGAAGAACATAATTGGAGGATGCCCACTTCCTGGTTTCAAAATTTACAAACCTACAATAATTAAACATGGTGGTATTGGCATGAAGACAGAGAAATAGACAAGCAAAATGCAATATAAGGTTTAGAAATAAAACAATCATACATCTATGGTCAATTGATTTTGACAAACCTGTGAGTCCATTCAATGAGGAAATAATAGTTTTTCAACACATGGTGCTGGGAAACAGGATTTCACATCTAAATGAATAAAAGTGGAGCTTTACCTCAAATCATACATAAAAATTTACTCAAATGGATCAATCCCTTAAACATAAGAGCCAAAAGCATAAAACTTATAGATAAAAACAGAAGCAAATGTTAATGACCTTGGACTGGGAAATAAATTTTTAGATATGATGTCAGAAACATAAACCCAAAAGCAAAAATTTATATTTCATAAAATTAAGTAGTTTTGTTAATTAAAGGTTAATATCAAGAAAGTGAAAAGACAACCTACATAACGGGAAAACATTTGCAAATGCTATATCTAGGAAAGGTTTAATATCCAGAATATATTAAAAGTGTTTTTAAATCATTACCCAAAGAAAATCCTGTTTAAAAATGGGAAAAAGACTTGAGCTGGCATTTTTCCAAAGATGATGCACAAAATGATCACAAGAAAATTTCAATATTATTAGTGATTAGGGAAATACAAATAGATACCACACAAGAGATAATTCATACTATTAGGCTATTTAAAAAACTAAAGATTAAAAATATGGAGAAATCACAACCTGACACAGTTTCATATTACTGGAGTGAATATAAGATGGAAAAAGTTTGGCAGTTCCAGTGGAAACAGTTTGGCAATTCCAAGAAATAATTCTTCATAAAATTATTATATGGCATACAGAAAAAAATATCTTACACTCTGTGAAGAATATGGTGGTTACCAGAGTTGCAGGGGAAAGGGTATGGTTGGGGTAATTTGATAATGTAGTCGCACTGGAGCTTAGATATGTGCTGTGGTGTGATGTGGTTATAGTTATTAAATGAATGGCAAATCAATAAAATGTTATATATGAAAAAAAGTTAAATCGATTAGAGATTCCACTCTTAGGTATACAACCAAAAGAACTGAAAACTGAAACTCAAATACATATATTTGTATACATATGTTCTCTATAGCATTATTCAGAATGCACAGAAGGTAGATACAAAACGAATGTCTGTAAACAAAGTGTGCCTTACATATGTGATAGCATATTATTCAGACATAAAAATAAATGCTGTTCTGCTGCATGCTTCCATATGGATGAACCTCATAAATATTATGGTAAATGGACTAAGGCCATTTTGTGACAAAATGACAAATATCTCCTGATCCCACTTATATGAAATATTTATAATAGGCAAATTCCTGAGAGAAAGCTGATTAGGTTTTAACAGTGATTCTGTGTGTGAAAGAGAATGGGACTTGATGGTATAGAATTTGTATTTGAAATAATAGACATGTTTTTAAAGTAGATAGTCGTAATGGGTCCATAAAATTGTGAAAGCAATTAATGCCATTGTATTGTACACTTGAAATGGCAAAATGTCAAATTTTCTATATATATTTTCCATAATAAAATATTTTATGGAAAAATCTAGTGGATATAGCTTCTTTATATATTATACTTGCATATTAAATGAAACAATCAAGTCCTAGGGATTTTACTTTGTTTAAACATAATGTTCTGTATCACTTGAATTTTAAAATCATGTATGTGTTGGTATACATCGCTCCCCCCCTCCCCCCGACACACACACACATCATTTGGTAAGTAGATGTATGGGAAGTCAATATAAATATATTTTGGAAATAAAAAAGTAAAAAAAAAAGAAAGTTGAGTAAGTTCCTAATACAGAGTAAAAGAAGAAATAATCTGGGTTTATAATGAATACTGTGAAGAAAACAAACCAAGAAGGTGTCATTAAATACTCCATATACATGTAATGGGATGTTGTATAATTTTACAGACAGTGGAAATTTGTACAAACTAATGTGAGAGCTACTAAATAACAAGTTAAAATAGCGAAGTTTTCATTCCCTGTATAAGTTATTCCTTTTAAACTAAAGCAATATTTTATTACTAATCTTTGCTTCTACAGACTTTCAAAATCATGACTGTAGATTTTCAAAATATTAACTGTAATGGTTTTCAGTCCATTTTTCTCTCTCACAAGCTATAAGCATATTGCATTAAAGACATTTTCATTTGATTTTCTAGTATATGTGCTTGATGTGAAAGATATGTCATAAACTGAATTATAAATATTTATACTTATTACAGTATATATATTTTTGTAGCTATATTACTTCCAAATTTACTCATGAATATAAGGTAACAGGAAAAATGTGAGTGGTTTCCAAAATATGCATAACATTGCATGTGCAACATTTTACCATCGATTTACATCACTCCATGACAATATGCTCAACTAAAAAAAAATTGATTTTGCTTATATTCAAAATATTACTTTGTCACATTTTCATTTGTAAATAACCATAAATCTTTCCATTATAGCATGCATTTGTGTTCTCTTAATCTCATAGTAAAGTATCTGTCAGTAAAAACAATTGCTTATCACACACTTACAGAATTGAGAGAGTGTGGCTTAGTCTTCCCCGTAACAATAAATGATACTCAATAAAAAAGAAAATGTCACTGCCTGATGGTATTTGATTGTGTGCATGAATGAAAGTTTTGGATTTAAATGCAGGTGATGTAGGGGGAAGACTTGCAGTGATTAAGCATAATTAAAAATTATGTTCAGGACCTCCCTGGTGGCACAAGCGGTTAAGTTTAGCATTATGAAGCAATCCTCAGTCACTGCAGCACAAGTTCAATACCCAGACAGGGAACTGGCCCACATGGCACAAAAGACCTCTCCTGTCTGGTCTGCTGCTCCCCTCAGCAGTGTATTTCAATAGATCTGCCTGTTCTGCTCCCTGCTCTGTCTCCACTGAATACTCTCATGCCCCACAACTTTGCCCTAAACTCCAGCTCTTGTATGCATAATTAAATAAATCTTTTTAAAAAATTGTGTTCGTTGGAACATAGTAGTGTAGTCATCCTAAAAGATGAAGGGGTCAGGTTATGCTGTCATCTTCAAGAAAAACAAGACTGGAGCCCAAGAATGTAGGGAGAATTTCAGAACAAATAGAATGTCCTTGAAGAAAAGTTAGCAGCACTTCCTAAGAGGACTCTTAAAAAGTTAAACTCTGCTCTGAGATCCAAGAACACATTTTGTGTTTCTGATACTTTATATTTGAGGAGAAAAGTCATACAAAAATAGGAAAAGATTCACAGAGGCAATGTTTTTGCTCAAATTTCTCCTTTTTGTCACTGTAAACATATATCCACGCATATACATACTTACCCAGCACTGCTTTAGGGTTTTAGACTCGCCAAGATTAAGAACAAAATAGAGCTCTAAAGCCATTTGCACAAAGTCACCATTTAACAACATTTCACCTCAAACTTGTTAGATCTGTTACAATCATGCATTTTGTGTGTCAGGGGAGTGTGAGTGCACACGTGTGTGCTGAATATATTGAGTGTACACAGTGCCTTTAGTCTAGATTTCAGTTGCAAATTCTGTAAACTCTCTAGATGATTAGATAGCTATAAAAGTCTAAGAAATGTGGAATTGTTAACAGGTTAACCTACATTTCTTAAAAGACAAATGGTTTTCTCCCTCTTTTAGTTTCAAACAATTAAGTTTTAAATTACATGTTGCTTTTAATAATTGATAACCACCAAAATTGCTATTGAACAAAAATATAAGCTCTAATGTATGAGAGAATCTGAATTCAATTAGTGACAATGTTATTAATAATATTTTAATTGAATTTATTGCTTACATCAAGCACAGTGATAAATTTACATGGATTTTCAGATTTTATGATATACTTCTCAAGTGAGATTAAGGAAGAATGAAGTGGCTGACTGGCCAAATTCAATGCTAGAGTTTGAACTAAGGCCTGCTTGATACCTCGGAAGTGCTAGGCTTGGATACTGCTTAAATAAAACTAACATTTATTAGGCACCGGAGATATATCTACTTATGCTGGTGTTCGATCAGATAGATGTTATTTATTTACCCTGGAATTGTGAAAAACTGGAAAAATGGCTACTTACAATGAAACACAGGCCAGAAACTATTAAATTTGCATTGTCCTGGCACTTCAGAAAAGCAAGAGTCAATTGAAGCAGTGTTCATATGCTTAACTTGAAGTTTTCTGAAGTTCCACTAGGAGAAGGGCTCCCTCATCACAATGTTTTAACACTGAGGCATAAAATTGTTGTAAAGTTATTTAAATAGCTAGACTGCTCTCCCACAGAAGTGGATGCACTTCAGCCATGGAAGAAATAGTTCCAATATTATCAAGTAATTTGTGATCCTTTAAGATTTTTGTACACATAAATGTAAAATTGTATTTGTTATTACAATCATCATTTTACCATTCATACTTGAAGACACTGGTATTTCCACAAATCAGGCAATGTGCAAATTCTGTCATAGTAAAACATTTATTGTTAAAGTGATATAGATTATTCAAGATTCTACAGTCTTAAATCATGGATGGTAATGTAACATGGATTGATACAGAACTCGATGCCAATGTAGGCTTTTTTCTTTCCTTCTTTAAAAAAAATACTTGTAGGTCAGAAGAAAAAAAAATGGTTTTAAAAGGGGATGAACCATGGTCTGATGGAGCCATTTCTGCCAGCATCAGAGACTTCTGCTTCGGCTCCTCTGGACAATTTCTTCCAAGACACCAGTTCAACAACTAATCTTTGTGAATTGAAACATGTTTAAATTTTATCCATTAAAAATATCAGTGGTGACTTTTTTTCAGGAGAAAGAGAAGTGGTGCTCTTCAGATTAACTCCAGCCTCTGAAAAGAAAGGAAAAGAAAAAAAAAAAAAGAAAGAAAGAAAAAAAAAAACAAACACATAGCTAATAAGATCATGGAGTGAGCAATGCAGAACTTATAGAACTGTAAGCATCCAGGCAGAAACTGCTTGTTTATAAAATATGAGACACACCTTGAAAACTATCTAGAAATGCACACAGGTCATAAAATATAGTTCTTGAATTATCATACTTTTATATATATATATATATATATACAAAATCTCATGTTTAAAAATAATTTAAAATATTTGTGCAAGTCAAGGTTAAATGGCGGGATATTATTTTCCCTTGTTTTGGCTTTTAGATTAATATTATCAAATGCAAATTATTGAGCAAGGGATTTACACAATATTGAAATATATCAATAAATATAAATATTTACACAATATTAAAATATATATGTATCTCACTTGTAAAAAGATTATCTTAGAAACAACTGGTATACAGATATCACTCTAAACATTGCAAAATTCTCTTAAATTACATTGGGATGTATCTAAATTTCTTTCTACTGGATTCATAGGCTCGCTTACTTTGCTAAAGTGAAATATCAACAAGTTTCTTTTTATTTTCAAAAAACATGTTCCCTTTGTTAGAAAAAAGTAATAGTATTTTACCAAATTACAAGTTTCAGGAAGTGTTAAGGTATATGACTAAACATACCTAGAAGAAACAATAGACAACATAACTGGTTTGACTTTGGAAATAATAAGTTTGGAATACATTATTTTAATGTTGATTACTCTATAAACTGACATATTTCCAAGAGGTTTTGATTCAATTTAAAATTACATAATAACTATTAACAAATTGTTAGAATCATTGTTTAAATAAATGATGTTAATTTTTAAGCTTAGGAAGTAGCAATTAGTTTTGAGCCCTATTACCACTATTGAAATGAAACATAATATAAAGCAGAATAAAAACTTGTATATGTAGGATATTTAAAATAATCCCTTTACTTTACTTGTCAATAGGTAAACTCTTACAATAATTACATAAAGATCGAAACTTGGAACACAAAATTATAGGAGCACTATGAAGATAAGAACAAAATGGACTAAACAATTTGTCTAAAATGTTAAAAGAACTAAAAATTATGAACTTGGGGTACATTCAAAATGGTTTGGTAATAGTTCTAATTGAACAGTGAAATTGTATCATACAAAACACTGTGGACAGTCAGATTTAAGCGTATTATAAAGAAAAGAGGAAATGAAAAGTACCTCAACACTGAGAGAAATAAAAATGTCCTAACATTGCTGTCACTGCCCTTAATCTGAATGTAATTAAGAACTGTGAAAGATTATTATCTTGTATAGGATGATAACTTAAAAGGAAGGAAATGATTTCTAAAGGTCACTGCTGACAGTGGGTTGTATTTTATTTTCTGATTTTCTGTAATGTTCAAATAAACATGTCAAAAAGTATAGTTAAAAGTTTTCTACCTGTGTACCTAGTCTACTACACTTATTTTAAAAGAAAATTCCCCTGAAAGGGAATGTCAAAGAAAAAGAAATTAAGAACCAAATATTGGTCATTTTGCTCCGGAAAAAAAACAGTGGAAAGATATCTGGATCATGTGGACGCATTCATTTTGCTTTTTAGCTCTTATTTCATGTTTTCCTAACTCTGTATTTTCCATTGTTATTTAAATGCTGCTATGTATTAACTTATCACTTATATATTAATAGTTTTCTCTAAAAGAACTGGACTCTTCATGGTTATCCCATCTGCAGCAGAGATTTTATCTCAAGGTTTAAATTTTTTAAATTCCTTGACCAATATTAAACAAAATAATAAGAATTCAAATTTATTAAAAACAGGAAGCAATTATCTTAATGGCTGGGGCAAGCAATTGCAGAATAAGTATTTCTTGTACATATATACACACAGAGACACAATGTACATGTATTTGGTTTGTTTGAATACAATAATATTTCTAAGAAATTTTACATAAGGTATCCTTTAGTATAAATACAAACTAGTCAACCATTACTATTTTGAGTGCCAAACACAGCATGTTGATTGTTTAACTGGGTTCATTTTAGGCATAAACATCTTTTCAAACATAGGGTTAATTTATATGCAAATATTAGTAATTATTACCATTTTTTAAATCACTGATTCCTCTCCTCTTTATTCTCAATTCATCTAAGTGTGATTAGAATTTTATGATTTGATTATGAAGGATAGTATAAACTATGTTGTGTTCATGTATTTATATATATATATATATATATGCAGGAAGGGTCTAAGAGAAGAAAATTGGTATAGGGTATATTCTGGTTAATGCAAATGAAATAAATGTGCCACACTTCATCCTCTGGGGAAAAAATCTCCTGCATAGACACGTCAGTATGATTAGCTACAGAAAACAGCTGCAAAGCTGTGAGCACAAGAATCTTCCAGCTTTCCACCACACTTCATTCACACACAGTGATGTACTGCTGACAGTGGGAAAGGCCATGAGAAGACTGAGAGCATATAGTCAGTCTCTTCTAAGGGTCATCGCTGTTTGGTAGTACTGACAGCTGTAGGAATGATAGGTCTGCTAGAGCAAAAATCATTTACCTTACCAAGAAGAGTTATACTAAGGTCACACGTGACTTAAATCTGATAACAGAGATGTAGTGAAGAGATGGCTAATAAGTGAATTATAGCCACTATATTTTGTTAAAATTATTGTGTTCCTGTGCATTTATTTTTCTTGCTAACACTTATAGAAAAAAAAGCTTAGTGAAAACCTGGGAAGAAAGTTTCTATGTCATTATGACATAGGCATGTGTTTCATAAAGAAAATTAAAGATTGCAATATTTTAAAAAAGAGAGAGATTCCAAAATTCCACATATTTACACTCACTATGTAAATCTAATCTAAATGCACACATACACACATACATTTCCAACATATAGAAATGCAAACCACTGAAATTAGATTTTAGCATTTGTGTCAAGGTAGTGGATTACGATGATTTATATTTACTTTTTCACTTTTAACTTTATATTCAAAATTTTATAAAACCAATACTAATTACTTTAGGACAAAACGAATCATTAAAAATATTACACCCTTATCACATTGGCACACCCAGTGATATCTGTAGTAGTACACAGATACTCGAGGAGATTACTTTAAATTCCACCTCTACCAATGTAGTAAAATAAACAAATAAATACATGCCCCATGTGAATATTTAGGAATTCATTGGCAATTAAAAAATTACTGAGATTGACTCTCCTGCTTCCAAATCTTGATATAACATTTAGCATCATTCTGGACAGTTCCTCGGATAGATTATCCATTTACTTTCTAATCCTTTTTTAAAATATTCTAATTTGACATTAACTAGATGTCCAAAGTCAGTTGATAAATAAAGGTTTAAAAATCAAAGACAGAGAGAGGAGAAATAGAGGAAAGAAGGAAAAATGGAAGAGTCAGAGAGGGGGAGGGTTATGGTGAGGGAGAGAGGTTAAAATTGAGAAAGAAATAGGGGTGGTAGAGAAGCAATGTACTTGCACACAGGTCAGTTCAGTACACAAAACAGAACACAAAGTATGTGCCAGACACTGTGCTATTGACTGTTTCCAGTGAGCCATCTGTTCATTTTTTGCAATATGAGTGGCGTCCTAAAATCAATTTAAAGAAAATAAAGAGGATAAATTGAAAATTTTGTTTGATCTGGGGATGGAATTCATTAGGAGAAAGCGTGGATAACTATCCAAATAATTGTTATCTTTTAAATATGAAATGTTAAAAAGCATGACCCCAATTTTACTCTTAACAAATAAATCAATGGCCTTTTATAGACTTTTTAAAGCTGAATATTTTTTTCTGTGTCAAACCTTAAGCAAATGACTGGTGCTTCCAGCTGTTTGAACAGATTGCTAAAGTGCTATTCTGCTCTGGAAACACACTTTCTGATCCAATTAAAATGCAGGAATCAAATACTCATTTGAAACTTTAAACACACACACACACATACACACACACGAAGAGTAATTGGTTGCTAAGGAAAGGAATACCATGAATATTTCATGTGTAGTCTTTTGTTCCATTTTAAAGTGGCTTCATTCATTTTAGATAACAGTAAATACTACTGTCCATCCACTTGCAATGAGGCGTAATGTATCATCTCAGTTCCTATAGGATGTGGAGTGAATACATTCTTATCAAGCTATTTTCAGCCATGTCTACAAGAGTGAACCCAAAGTCACATATGAAGTTGTAAGTATTCCCTTTATTTTTCATTTATCAATCAGAAATGGCCAGTTAATGAAAAACATGTCTCATGTCTAAGTTTAGGAACTAGAACTTAACCAAATTGAAATTTAGTCATTACCATTAAAAACTGAACGTTTTAATGGAAAATTTCAACAACTTAAGCAAGTTAAAAACAAGTTAAAAATTCATTTATAAAAGAATATACCCACTTTTGGGCTGAAGTGTGTGACAGGAATCTCACAAGAATCTCACCTGTGCTTCCTGGACAATCTGGTCAACATTAGTCAGCAAAGCATCTGGGAATAAAATTTTCAGTATCATGAACAATTCATATTTTAAGAAATAGACTAATACATTTCTCACTGAAATCTTGCTAAGTTTCCTCTTAACAGAGATCTATCTACACTTTTTTTTTTAAACTTACCACCTCTTGATTAATTGTAGTTGACTTTTATAATACTTTTAGTTCTCTATAGCTACTTCCTAATACTTAATGTTATACAGGCAGAACTTTTAAAAATATTGGTCTAATTACAAAATTGAGCAATTATCAAAATAAAATGCACTTTTCCGGTAAGAGTTCAATAAGAGAATCAGGCTTCTATTCATTTGCCCTATTTAGAGCTAACATTTCAACTACAGAGTTGCATATGATTGATATGGAAAGTTACAGCAAATAAAAAAGAATCCAAGCAGGAAATGTAGTTTCACCTTATTCACCATGCAGAGTGAGTATAGAATAATCACTTACAATATAAACCGTTGTTCAATAACTCCCCCCCAAATAATAGCATGTTTTATCAATTACCTGTTTATCCTACTATAAAAAAGGTCATGTTCTCAATGCAAACATTCTGCCTGTAATGTTCATACACATATTTCATTTGCTATTAATGTTTAATGCCATTACATAGCCCAGCATGATACACATTCTATTTCTTTTCAAAATACCTTGCTTTTAACTAAGTACCCCTATACTGCTAGTCATTAAGAAGTAATACAATGAGAAGAATAAATAGATGTCTCAGGAAGAAGTTGTTCCCATAGTTCCTAGGTGAGTGTGATGAAATGGGATAATATACATTTTTATAAAACCTCCAGCACAAATATTCCTGTAAATTACAACGACCTATTCATGTTATGTCTTACATGAAAACCATATAAGTTCATATAACACAGGAAAAAATTACATTATGTTAGAGCTAAAATTATATATATATATCATGAATCCTTTCATGTTAACATATACACATAAACATAATAAACAAAACTAGTTTATGTTTCAGGAGTGATTAAATGTATATCTACTTTCAAAAACGAAACGAAAAAACCCACTTAACATTCCTCTGAATGTATTTGAAAATCTGATTTTTTCCTTTTTATAATTCATGAACATAACTATTACCTATTTAAAAAGAATGAATGGAATTAGAGAAGTTGTAGAGATGGTTATCATTAAGAAACTCAGAAAAACAAGTTTGTACTAGAGAGTTAATATTCCATGGAAATCTGATAAATAGCCAGTTTGGAGTTGTTCTGGGAGATCTCTGACAGTACATTTAAATCGAATTTTGGTCCATGAGATATATTCTATGTTACAGGATGAAAACTCAAGTTTTAACTGATTGGTATTATAAGCATGTGTACCAATATACCTATAAATTACATATATAAACATATAATTATATACAGTGTATGAATTTTAATCAATGGCAACTTTAGATCTTAAACTTTCATTTTGAAGAGCTGAATGAAATCAGAAGACATTGGTACCTTAATTATTTCTTTATATTTATTACGTGCATTTGATAAAATTATGAATGTATTAATATTACTTTAATGTGGTAATCTCACATGTAAATATACTCCAAATTACAAACTATTATTTTCTATGTGCTGCATTCAATAACACCATACTTTTAGGATGACTCAATCATGATAATGTTTACCATTTTTTCCTTTTTAAGTGATGTTCTGTACCACTACAAGGATTGTTTCTGTTAAAAAAAAAAAAGATAATGCTAATTGTATTTTGCAATTAGCAAAACACAGCAGGCATTACCTAGCATGGGAGAGAAAGGATTAAGTAATCTGAAAGACAGAGTTCTAAACCTATTATAAAATTCCAGTCATTGATTTTCAGTTTTTATGCAATTTCAAAAATGAAATATTTCCTATCCATAAATTTAACTCAACTAACATTTATCACATTAACATTATATTGTAACATATCATTATGATTACCTTACTGTTATTTTCAACCCAGGAGAATAAGAAAAAAAGCACTTTTCATGACTAACCACCTCCCCTCACCAAATTAAATGTCTTTCCCCAAATCACTGCACATTCACAGGAATGTCTCTATCCATTATTAAAGTGGAGACTGGTTTTTCCTGACACACAAGGGAAGGCTGAGCAAGGAAAAGAGTATAGTCTTCACTTTGTTTAGTACAAATACTCATTGCTTTCTTAACACTGAACAATGGAACTGGAATTCTGACATGCTGAGAAAAAAAGTGGGCTAATTTCTTCTTAAAAAACATCCCACTTATTCATTTATTTCCACAATTTCATGAATAACAAGATAATTTATGTTTTCAGAAGTTTTTCAATGATTGGCATTTTAGAGTTTGTTTTTTAAATTTATTGCTGTGAATAAACAGGCAAATACTAAAATTTACGAACTAAAAACCCATTGATATAACATTTATAATAATTGCTCTATTAGTTTTAAAAATTTTGTTAATGAAATATTTAGATTCCTTCCCATAAATGCAAGCAAACAAAATAGTGAAAATTAGTTTAAAAGTAATTACTCTGAGTGCTTTAAAGCAGTAAAAATATTTCACAAAATAGATAAACAGATTCCTGTAACAATTGGAATGCACTTAATTTTTAAAAATTCCTTAAATATTTGTGCAGAAAATATGTAGTATTCATATTATGAACTTGTTATATTTATAAATGGCTATAATACTTCAAAAATTTATATTTCTAAAGTTCTTTGTAAAACATCTACAAAGCAATGAAAATCAACAATCTTAAAGCATAATGCTAAATTAAGCTTACTAAAATCTCAGCTTAATTTCTAACTACATTAATGTTCAGAGAAAAAAAGAAATAAATTGGTCACAATAAGGATGCTTTTGTATCTAATTTATCATATGTAATTTAATGCTACATAATCTACTTTTAGACTAAAAAATAATATTATTTAAAACAAACTTTATTTCCCCTTGGGAATCTAAGGCAACTTTATGAAACTTAAATCTTATATTTTGAAAATATTGTATATTAAAAAGACCTAACTTAAGAATAATTGTACATTTTCAATTTGGGAGACAATTATCTAATAGGCACAAAAATCAGCATAGGAACACACATAATTTTAAATAATGCCTGGAGTAATTATTTGTAAATACATTATTTCTTTTCATATTGAACAAGATAAAGTCATACTTTAAATAGTCAAAAATGAAAGAAAAACAATTAAGAAAAAGGAAGGGAAAATAATCTATCTATGTGCTTGCTGCTTTCTGTTGCTGACTATGTATAAGCATGAGAAAAAAAACAACAAATTCCTGCTAATAGTCATATATCTGGATCACATATCTCCACTGTATTAATTAATCAAAATTCTTACAATTGTGCTTTCTTCCCTGCTCCCATTCCTTTACCTCTTCATTCATCTGAGCAACTATCGTGTTTCAGACATTTTCCCAGAAAACTTTAATCAAACCCAACCTTCCTATAGGTTTATATGGCAGACTCTTCACAGTGAAACTGACCAAAAACATAAATTATTTCATATACTTAAAAAATAAAAAATCTGTCTCTCTTCTTGGGACAAAATTTTGTTGATCTCTCAAGAAGACAGGAACGCAGCAGGCCTTATCACTTCTAAGAACAATTGTTAAAGCATTCAGTAAATACACCCCAAAAATGATCTTGTAAAAGTAATCAAAATTTAAAAGTCTTCAATGGCTTTTAGTCAAACAAAATAAATTGTATATGATTAGATATTATAGAGTTCTAAATGTTTATGAGAAATAAAATATATTTAATTAAAGCTCCATTTAAAACATAAGCAGGGGATTGACTTAAAAAATACAGGCTAGAGGAAAAGACAAAATCAGTTAATTAGTAGCTTGGAGTAGATATGCTAAGGTGCTGTTTATGTTGCCTGATTTAAGAGCTCCCTTGCTCTTAACCTTTGTAATGCCTGAAATCCCTTTCTTGGATTCCCATTTCTATATGTCTTGAAAGATTTAATAAATATTCAGAAGTTTAAAATACTATGTATTTTATACTGGTGAAAATTAGGAAGGAGAAACATAATCTTTTGTTTTATTAATCAACTATCTCGTGAAGAATTATTTAACTGATGTTAATTAAAAATATTTCATTATGGGCCTCCCCTGGTGGCACAGCAGTTGAGCGCTGGGCTGTGAAGCTGCCGGCAGCCTCTGTAGCACGGGTTCGTTCCCCGGCCGCCAGCGAGGGTCCCACATGGCATGCAGACCTCTCCTGTCATGCCTGCTCTTCCCCTCAGCAGTGTATTTTGTCAGCCTGTCTGTTCTGTTCCCCTCTCTGGCTCTGGTGAATTCTCTCACCCTCCCGCACTTCTGACTGTACCCAGTGCTTGTACAAGTAAATAAATAAATCTTTAAAAAAAAAAAAAGGAACAAAAACAAAATCTTAAAAAAAAAATTCCGTTATGATTAGAGCATTATTACACAAATAGTGTTGAAAGTATCCCTTACTTTGAGTATTGCTTTTGATTTTACAAAATACTGTCACACATATGATCTCACACAATACTCACAAGAAGACTCATAGAGGCTGATTAAGATGTGCCTCTCTCAAGCTAAAATTAGCCAACAATTTTATATATGCCTCTAACAGGAGGAAATTAAACTCATGATCCACATTCCTCATCATGCTTTAAATGGCATTTCAAGTAATCCAAAAGAGTTAATAAACACTTGCTGTGTGTCTGACTTGATATAAATAAAGTACCGATTTCTTTACAATATAGCTAACATTCTGTGTATGAGGTTTCCACATAACCCTTATTCTCAAATGGAAAACAAAACCAAAACTTTAACCTTAACCTTGTTTAACATATATCTTTGTAAGCATATAAGTTTTTCAAATAGTAGATAAAATCATTTCTCTATAGACCATGATTTCAGGAAATGTTTAAGAATGCCGTATTATTAAGGAACTATATTACTGTCTGACAACATTTAAAATCTCGTTTTAATGATGTATTCCCACTAAATGGCACGATTTCTAATTAAACTTATCATAGGTTGTGGTTAAAAAAATAAACATATTTACTCTAAGAAAGACACATACTAACTCAGAATTAGAGTGCAAAAGGGAAAAATGAAACTACTATCTGGTTAATGAGCAATGACTATATTGCTTATAAATGTATTAAGGACTCCATTAGAAGTTCCTTATTTTAGTTGCTAATAAAAATAAACATCCCTTTGATAGTCAGTTTTGTAGTTTTATCTCCATTTTTAACTTGCATTAAGAAAAATATAAAACTTATTCAATCAGCAAATGTGTATTGAATGCATGAAAACACCATTTTATGCCCAGGTAGAGGCCTATGAAATTGTGATTTAAAACTGAATTAGATTTTTTTTTTTATTAAAGCAAAATCAATTTCATTTTCTTCTGCTTCCCACTGAAAAATTTGTGTCATGGATGAGAACTATTTTACAATTAAGGCAGCTGAGCCAAGAATGTTGTTTATAAAGGTACTTATTTTAACACTGTGTAAACTTATTGAATATATTATTTTAAATAACATAAAAATGCAGGGTTGTTTTCTACAATATTTCTCTGAAAACAAACACCTCTATCATTAAAAGAAAATGTACAATCTGTTCATTCAAAAATACCAAGAATCTATTGTGGTCCTTTGTAAGACTGGAAGGAATATCATTATTTATGCAAAATTTATTTTTTCCCTTTCATTTTATGATCTGCTGTTGCAGAACCTGGAAGTCAGTCCTAGAATAAGGGATGACACTCCTCTATGTGATGCTTTTTCTCCTAAGCCATTTTAATCATACATAGATATTCATACACATATATGTGTGACATATGTGTGTGTATATATTTGTATATACATAAAATTTTACTCTAGAAGGCTTATACAATTTGACTCTTTTAGATAATACTGGAATTTCAAATTCCAGCTGCCTATGTGAGGTCTCAAAATATTTTTTTATTAAAAAAAATAGGTTACACAGTGCTTTCCAATCTCCACTCAGAATTTTGAACAAACTGCCTTTCCTCTATGCCCATTAGAACCACTAGACAGAATAGACATCCCATTCATAGACATGCTTCTTTTAGAAAACACTCCACATGTGTTTGGTGAGTTAATATAACAGTAATACTCCTTTAATTCTCCATTCAGGGGGTACCTGTGCCTTGTTCTCGATCTCTCAGCAGGTAAAGTAAGAAACTTACTTGACTTAGAATGTGCTCTTTTAGATGTGGGCCCCTCTGTGACAGAATCGGGAGGAGGTCGACTAGCTAACTGCAATGCAGTTGAGTTGTTCCTGTTAGTGTTTTGGGACTCAACATTTGTGACAGCTTCACTCTGTGGTTCCGTACTTGGCTTTGGGCCAGTCTTTCTTTTCTGCTTCTGGGACACAGAAGTGCTTGAAGTCCAGGTAGGAGGCAAAGCAGAGGTAGTGGTGGAGGAGTCCTGACTTGAACAAGTTTCTGAAGATTGTATCACATTGTCATTGGCAACTTTACAGCACTGGGCGTTCTCTTCATGTCCCACTGCTTGTTTGGACATGGACTGGGGCAGCGTGACACTGCAGCCTTGTATTTGAGCCCCATTAGTTTGAGAGTAGACGTTGCTGACCTTGGTGACCTTGTGCTGCCCATTATTGTTACAAACCTTATACCGGATCATTAGAATGATGATGAAAACCAACACAGATGCTACAATTATTCCACCAATAATGATAATCATGGTGCCTCCCAAAAATTGGGACTGCATGAAATGGCATCGTACATAATCCTGTTCCGTAGTAAACTGGATGCAACCCACGACTCTTGTGGCAGTGAGGGAAGTGATGCCATCGTCATATATTGCCAAGACACACAAGTCATACATAGTTCCAGCAGCCAGGTTATTGACAAGAAAAGTTTTGCTTGTAGGAGGTATCATTCTGAAGGACAATGGAATTTGTATTAATATCACAAACAAAACACGATATGTACATAGAGAATCATTGCGATTTCAGTTCTGTTTCATCTCAGGACTCATTAAGAAAAGCACATTTATAACAGATATGAAATATGAGAAAATTATCTAATCTTATATCTTCTCAGTTAAAATGGCTAAAAGTCATTGTTTGAGTCAGCTTTATATTAATGGTGCCTGCACCATGCCCTAACAAGCTTACTAATTACATTGCTTGGCAAGGCAGAACTCATAATAAAAGCCACTGCTACAGAATCATTTATGACAAATTGCTTTTGAAAGGTGTGACTGTGACATTATCTGACTACTAAACAAATCCATTTAGCACTTACAACACCTCTGTGACTAAAAGCCAATTTGAAGGAAGGGAAAACACTGACAATCACATTAGAAACCAAAATGGAAATTCATTTCAGAATATTTATTTTCCAAATCATTTATAAGTTGCTCTAGAATGGCAGCCAGTAAATCTATCCTTAATAATTGAGATAATTACTAAGATTAAGGTACTTTATTTACAGATCTCAGATCTCTTATACCTTCAACACTTGGTCTCCAGTATTTTTATTGATAAATGAGGTTGATGAAAATGTCTGAGTAATACCACCCTGGAAATATGAACAGGGCAAAGCTGTTGAACAGAGCATAAATACCTGTCTACCCCATTGTTCGCTGGTGAAAATTTATTTTAGATACAGCTTTTAAAGTTTCATAAGATTTTATTGACAACTCTGACTCCATTATATCATAAAAGTTTTCTGTGAATATTACTTTCGGATACCTTTTCTTTTTTTCTCAGCAGCAGCCAAATATGGCCTAAATGAGATTTAATTTGGGGAAAAAATGGTTTGAAATTATATTTTTTGTGAGGGTGAATTTTAAGAAATTTTAAAGTTGGCAATGTGTGTCTATTACACAACTTAAATAATGTGTTCTAAATGTAGTAGGAAATTTTTAGACCAGAGTTATGTGTTTGTAATTGAAATCACTATCACTTAGTGAGGGCATGATAAATGCCAGGCATTATTAAGCACTTTGTATGCATTATAATCTAATCTTTACAATGACTGCATGAGGCATTATCATTATTTACACATGACAAACATTAGGGTCAGGAATTCAAGCGATTTACTCAAAGTCACATAGAATTTAATTGTCCTCTCAGGAATAAATACGGAAATTGGGAAAATAGATACTGACCTACTTCATGGAGCTAATGCTTAAAATAGATAGGATGTCTATCTGCTGCAAGAAGGTGGAAGTAGGCGTGGATATTTATCATTGACAATTAGTTAAGCAATTCATAGCTTGGGTGAAGAGCTGAATATGACCAGAGAAAACTGCTTCACGCTTATGCACATGCATCATAGCCTACCTGCCCATACATTTAATGATGGCAGGGTTATTAGAAACCATTTAATATATCCCTTTTAAACATGAGGAATTTAAACTTCAGCCAGGTAGAACCTTACCGAGGATCAACTGTATGGATAGTTAGGCCAATTTTATTTGTTCTTAATTGCCCATGCTTATTGCTTATTTTTAAAGTAATTTTTCACTTCCAAATATGAGGCAAAATCAAATTATCTTCCTGAATTCACTGGGTATCTGTGACTGAATTGATCTGATTTCAGAAAAGCTTAAATATATATATATATATATATATATATATATATATATATATATATATATTTAAGGAGTTATACTGTTCTATCACAAGTGAAATCATATGGAGGGGTAAAATGTATACTTCCAATCAAATATTGGGCAAGATGTGACTATAAATCAATGAGGCTGAACTTTAGAAAAACATACCAGAAATTCTTTAGCCTGATACAAATTCCCCATCAATGTTCTTACCTGGAGATTATATAGTCAACTCCAGTGATACTTTCACTGCTCAAAATATCTGTAAACTTTCTCTTTGGAACTGTCTTAAGAACCAGTATTATGAGACAACACACATGCACATAACTCAGTCACTCAAAAAAATCAGTCTCATTATTTTATAGTTACATCCTATTTTTGACCAAAAATGGCAATATCCATCTTGATCACCCACCTTATTCACAAGACTTGGCTCCAAATGGCTTTTGCTTGTTTCCAAAATTCAAATTCACCCTCAAAAGACGAAGATTTGCCACCACTGAGGATATTCAAAATAGTATGACGAGATTCTAAAGATAATTCCAAAAGTGCTTTGAGCAATGGCAGCATCATTGGGATAATGGTATAGCCTCCCAACGTGACTTCCTTGAAGGAAAGAACACTCATGTGGATGTGTAAGTTCTGGTATGTTTTTGAATTTTTTAAATAAATCAATCTTGTTCTCTGATAGTCACATCTCTTAGATGAGGGGAAAAAAGTAAGTAAGCATAAAATTAAATATAAATTTGAACTCTCTAAAAATAACACCATTCAACATATTTCCCCACATGTATTCACTTTTCACAAGCTTTACACATTGTACACTTTAACAAATGAAGTACTGAAATTACAATACAGAGTAATACTGCCAATTAAAAAAATCAGTAATATATTAATAAGCCCTACACTAAAATACATGTTAATTATAAAAATTTGCTTTAATTTTCTTACCTGTAAACAAGGGTGTCATCATAAGTACCATTGTACTGGATTTGAAACATACGTATTCCAGGGATATTTCTTTGAAAATTAAATTTAAGTAGTGCTGTAGAGGATGTTGCTTCTGCCACCACAATTTTATCTTGACTCGTTTTAGTATCACCATTACTACTGCTTGCATTAGAACCTGACTTAGTCGAAGTTGAGATATCTGAAGAACCAGGATCAGGCTCATGGATATGGTTTGTACTGTTTACTATGTGGGGGAGCTTAATTATGTGAAGATCCACTGTTTGTGTTGCTTCCCCAGCAGGATTGGAAGCAATGCAGGTAAAAGCACCTGTATCCTTTACAGTTGTTATAAGAATGTCAAGTGTTCCATTATCATACACCAGCGATCTTGTTGCATTTGAAATAAGCTTCCCTTCAGGAGAAATCCAGTGAATTGCAGGTTCTGGGTCTCCCCTGGCTTTGCACCTCAATGTTGCCCTTTGACCCTCCAGAACTCTCATCTCATGTGTATGACGAGTGATGAGAGGAGGTTCACACAAAAACTCCTCCTCAGGAATTGACCAAAAGTAGCGGCCAGTCAAAAGTGCCGGAGAAGCACAGGTCTCTAAGTCATCTTCTCTAGACAGACGCCTCAACCACAACAATTCACAATTGCAATGCAAAGGGTTTCCACCAAAACTTAATGCAAAAGTAGACGGGCTTATGATTCCTGAGGTTGCTAGTACCTGAGCTCGCTGAAAGAGAGGATCAGGCGGTAGCTTCTGCAGTTTATTTGATGTTACATCTAGTCGAGTCATCTTGTGCAAGTGGGAGAAAGTCCCTTTAGGAATGTTATCAATCATATTGTGATCCAAACTGAGGGTGTGTAAACTGACCATCTTCTCAACAGCATCCCAAGGAATAGTTTCTAAATTATTATAGGACAGATCCAGTTCCTCAAGGGCAAATACATCATCAAATGCTGTAGAAGAAATTAAAGTCAGTTGATTGTTGTTCAATATCAAATGATGGAGATTGGAAAGCCCACTGAACATATCATTTGTAATTTTAGTCAATCTGTTGCTATTCAAATGCAATGCCCTCAAATTTCGTAAGTCAGCAAAAGCATGAGGTGTAATAAAACTTATTGTATTCCTGGATAGAGTCAGGTCCACCAAGCTGGTCATATTGGCAAAATCTTTCCTTTTAATATTTGTAACAAAATTGTCTGCCAACCGCAATTCCACAGTTCTTCTGTCAATGTTTGGTGGAACAAATAAAAGCCCTTTCTTGGCACAAAGGGTTGCAAGATTAGGAGACAAAATCTGACAGACACAACGCTTTGGACAGATCTGAGCTTTCACTGCTATGCCAATGAAAAACAGATAAAAAAGAAATTTTTCCATTGTAGATCAGATTTTAGAGCCTGTAACAGAAGATAAAAAATACAGTGTTAGCATCCAATTATTTGGTTCACTGTCCAACTAGAACAATCTTTTACATGCAAATTGTAATAAAGAAGCAACTTATTCATTTGTTTACTTAACAAATAAGATAAGCTATCTGTTATATGTTGGAAACTATACTGGATAAAAATATACCACACCTCCATGGTATTTAAAATGGAAAAACAAAGCCAGCAGACAGTATAATTCTGTAAATTAAGTGCTATTAAAAAAAATGCCCAGGATACTCCATTGGTACACAAAAAAGGAGCCACATATTCCATATTGGATGTTGGGGGTTCAGGTAGACTTCTCTTATACCTGAATGACATCTTGTTACAGAAGTAAATTCAAAGCTTAAAGATATATTTAAGAATTCACAAGTAGTTGAATTTATTTGTGTGAGTAGAAAAGTGACAATTTTTTTATTGGCATAACTTTGTGACAAGATATTTGAAAGTAATTAATCATTGGTAGGCTTTTACTTGTGTTTATAAACTATCTTGAATAAAGCACAGCTTTCACATCTTCAGTGCAAATACAGGCTCTTAAACTCAAAATCAATATGGCTGAACAATGGCTAGTATTTCCAAAATAAGCAAAAAAATCCTTTACAATTATACAAAGATATGTAAGACGATAATTTTCAAATATTGGACAAAGACATCAAAAAATTTATTTTTGTGAAAAATGAAATGTGCTCCTAAAGACACATTTCAAATCATAGCACAAGGAAGAAAAGCAAGGCAAAACATGGACAGCCTTTTCTAATTGAAGAAACAAAGGCCAGAGTCTCAAGGGGCTTGAATTTATAGAGCAGAATATTTTTTTAGCAGTTTTTATTTATTTATTTATTTGTTTGTTTATTTATTTATTTATACAAGCACTGGGTACAGTCAGAAGCGCAGGAGAGTGAGAGAATTCACCAGAGCCAGAGCAGGGAACAGAACAGGCAGGCTGACGAAGAAATTCACAGGTGAGGGGAGCAGCGGGTGCGGCAGGAAAGGTCTGCGCGCCATGTGGGACCCTCGCCGGAGGCCGGGGATCGAACCGGTGCTACAGAGCCTGCGTGCAGCTTCACAGCCCAGCGCTCAACCGCTGCGCCACCAGGGGAGGCCCAATATAGAGCAGAATATTAACAAGAACATGAAATAATACTGATTATCACTTATTATCAGGGAAATACAAATCAATATCACAATGACATACCTCCTCACACTTGTGAGAATGAACTACATATTAAAAAGACCATAAACAGCAAGTATGGGCAAGGGTGTGGAGTAAAAGAAAAGGAACGCTCATATACTGGAAATGCAGACTGGTCCAGCCCTTAATATAAACAGTTTAAGAAGTTTACTAAACCTTAAAAACCTTAAAAATAGATCTCTTGTATGACTTAACAATTTCACTCCTACATAGCTACTGGAAGAATGTGGAAAAAAATAATCGAAAGGAATAAATGCTCTTCTATGCTTGTTACAACACTATTTACAAAAGTCATAATGGAAACAACCTAAAAGTCCAATTATAGATGAGTGAATTAAGAAAATGGAATACTAATCAGTTACTAGAAAAAGGTAAAATCTTGCCTTTTGTAGCAACATGGGTAGAACTACCGGGGATTATGCTCAGCAAAGTAAATCATTCAGGGATGGAATATGAAAAATACAAAGCAAAGGAACAAACAATACTACAGCAAAATATATTCTACAAATCTGTAGATCATGGAATTTGAGGCTTTAGAGAGGGAGTGAGTGGAAAGCAAATTGGAGGAGGGGACCTACTGGACTATGTTGAGGGTTATATGAGTTTTGGTGAAAGGTAGGGTGCAGTAACCTACATCTGATGGGGTGTGAAACTATACCCTTAAATAATATACAGAGTTGTAAACCAACATTACCTCAGTCAAAAATAATTCAATTAAAAAGCAATGAAAGATAAAATCAATGCAATATGCAAATATAGTAAACAATCATACATACAAGCATATATATTTCAATAATTACATTAAACATAAGTTAAATCTAAAATTTGAAGGCACAGATAGTCTGCATAAAATAGCAGGGGTCACATTCATTAAGCATTGAAAAATAAACAATCTTTGATAAAGGACATTGACAACTGAATGTCAATGTATAGGAAAGTAATATCATAGAAATACAGAGCATAAAAAATTTTCCATAACTAAATTATTCTCAAAGTAGAAAAAGGATAATTGTACCAGTGATAAACATGGGCATTTCATAGAGAAAAATGATAGATTCATCAAGAAATTATGAAAACAGAGGAATACACGCACATAACAACAGGATCTTCAAAATACATGAAGCAATACATGACAGTACTAAGGGAAGTTATTTTTAAGACACAATAACAAATGTAGAAAAAAATAAAAATAAAAATAAAAATTTATAGAAATAAAAATCTTTAAATCTAAAGATTAAATGAGCATAACTTTTGTTCAGAAATTCTTCAGAATTTATGCTGAAAAAAATCAAACAAGTGTACAAGATATAAGCACAAGATGGTTCATCAGAGTACTGCTTATAGAAGAATAAAGGCAACCTCCAAAATTCCAGCATTAGGGAACAGTTGAGTAAATCAGTACATCAATAAAATGGAATCAGATTTAAATTAAAAAATCAGTGGTGTAGGTATAGATGTGTGTGTGTGTGTGCATGTGATCTTAATAAGTGAAAAGTAGTTGCAAAGGTACACAATGGTAATAGATAGCATTTATTAAGAGATTTGTGTTAAATGCTATTCTAAGAATCTCATGGATATTTAATATTTTTTTAAAAATGATTTTATTTTATTTATGCATACAAGAACTTGGGTACAGACCAGAGGTGTGAGGGATGAGAGGATTCACCAGAGAAAGAGTGGGGAGAAGAACAGACAGACTGACTGAAATACACTGCTGAGGGGAGCAGTGGGTAAGATAGAAGAGGTCTGCTACCATGTGGGTAGCTCCCTGGCTGGCCAGGGATCAAACTCAGTCTGCAGAGGGTATGGATAGCTTCACAGTGCTGTGTGTGTTTAACCCCTTGTACCACCAGGGAGGCCCTATTAATTAATTAATTAATTTTAAAGATTTTATTTATTTATACAAGAGCTGAGGTACAGGTGAGAGGTGCAGGAGGGTGAGAGAATTCACTAGAGACAGAGCAGGAGCAGAACAGGCAGACAGACCGAAGACACTGCTAAGGGAAGCAGCGGGTGAGGCAGGAGAAGTCTACTGCACCATGTGGGCATCTCCCTGGCTAGCCAGGAATCGAACCCGCGCTGCAGACGCTATGGACAGCTTCTCTGCACAGTGCTCAACCCACTGTGCCATCAGGGAGGCCCAAGACCCTATTAATTTAATCTTTACATCTACTATTGAGGTTAGGAACAAGCTTTCACTGTCCCCATTTTATAGTGAATCAAAAAGATTCAGTGACTTTCTTGAGGCACACACTGGTGACTGACCTCAGGCAGACTCCAGAGGCCATGTTCCCAAATACCACAAGATTCTGCTTCTCTTCTAGGGTTGTATTTGTTTTTAAAATAATACAAAATAAACAGGTGTGTGTGTGTGTGTGAGAGAGAGAGAGAGAGAGAGAGAGAGAGAGAGAGAGAGAGAGAAAGAAAGAGAGAATTGTTTGCAGCAAATTTGGAAAGACTAACATGAAAATATTAATAGAGACATTACTGTAGGATGTTGCTATTTTCTATTAAAAATGTTTTACATAAAATATAAACACTTCTAGCTCAGTAACTGACAGAACTAGCTGACCAAAATAAGCACAGTTGCTCTAAAAGATTTGAACAATATTAAAACAAAATCAACCAGCTTGATTAAATTTACAGTTATTAATAGAACTTCAACAAACACAGAATACATAACATCTTTATGTATATTCTTTTTTATTGCTCATGGAACATTTACTAATAAATTCCATATGATAGATCTGAATTCTCAAAATATATAGTGATGAAAAGATTTAAATCATGAAAATATGTTATATTTATACAAATGACACATATTTTATTAAACTCAATAAATACTATTTAGGAGATTATAAAATGGTTGGAAATTTAAAACTAAAACAAAAATAACTAGGGAAATCAGTCAATATTTTGAAGTAAATGAAAACATGATGTAACAGAATACTTGGTATGAAAAAGTAGTATATTTAGATTGTTAAGCTAAATCAATGTAATAGAGAGAAAACACAGTTTTAAATTAATTATCTAAATTTGAAAGCTAAAAAGAGTAGAAAAGAAAAATTAAACTGAACCAAAGAAAATAGAAGAAAATGATTGAAATAAAGGCAGAAATCAGTCAAACACAAAATAAACAAAGACAAATATTTGTTTTTAAAAAGATTGACAAACTTGATCTTCCCCCCCTCCAAAACTAATTAAGAAAAAATTAAAATTACCAATGTAAGAATAAAAATGAAACACAAATTTAGATGCCAAATTTATTAAAAGACAAAGGAATTTTATGAATGTTATGACTCTAAACTCAGCAATTTGGATGAAATGGACAAATTCACTTCAAAGCAAAAATTACCAACAATATAAAAATAAGAAAAATTATAAAATAAAAACATTTGTTAAAGAAATGGAATTCATAATAAACATCTTCCCCAAGTGGCAATCCCAGATAAATTTAGAAATTAGTTAAAAAGATGATAGATAGAATATATGATAATTTCAATGTATAGTATATATGATATAGTATGAATGATATCTTAAACAGGAGACAGATGATAAGTTACATATATGATGTAATTATATGTTGGCTGCATTATATGTTTTTATATAAATATATATTTATGTTTTAATATGTTCATTATAGACACCTATAATAATTAAAATATGTTATCTATATCATTAACTCTAGTGCTAACTTAAATATATAATATATATGAAAATTATGTATATAGAGAGGGACATATTTACACATGGAGAAAAGAAGTGAAAATGAGGA